TCTTAGCGTGTTCAAAATAAGCACATCCATCTCTTTAAGCCAATAGCTAATTTGGATTATTATGCCAATAAAATCTGGGTGGATAAAGATATGCAAAGTGAAAGACTACAATGGAAAAAAGCTATCTTTCATTTAAAACAACAAATGCATATGTGGATGCATGTGCATGCACACTTTTTCATACACAAGATTCTTGGCCATGTCAGTTTATGATATTTATATATTTTGTTCTTCCTGGTGTGAAAAAAAGGAGGATGTGTTAAGAGTCTTCCTTTAAATTTTGTTTCTGTACAGGGAAAACATATTTAAAATCCTGGTAAGAAGTCATCTCCTCCAGTTCAGGAAAACAGTTAGAGGGACTATTTGTTTGTGGAATAAGAAACATCAGTCTGGAAAATTCCCAGTCATCTCTTCCTGCAGCGCTTCACAGCTCTGTCATTGGCTCACGGGCTTGGAAAGCTTCGTAGCTCGTATTTTCCAAAAAGGATACCAGTCTCTCTTGTCCCTTTTTTAAAGGGTGAAAGAGGATGTCTAAGAATACCAAAGAGAGTCTGAACTAAATTTGTAGTTTGGGCAATAGGCCTAGATAGGCAGGTCAAACCCAAGGAGCAGAAGTTCAGCCTGGGGGGATTTCCAAGACCCACTGTCAGAAGTTCTCAAGACAGTCATGCAGCATCCTCCCTGCTGAAGTCTGTCCTTCGCCAAGTAACCACATGTAAAAAAACCATCAGGAGACCACAGATCATTCTGAAGAATCAACACAATGTCATAGGCTGATGACAGGTTGACATCTAAGGTCATGGACCAGTTTTTTTTGAGGGATGCCTTCGTGGAACATAAGAGTTGTATCAGCAAAATGTCACTGAAAGCTGTCACCAATTTCAACAAATAGGGCAGAGCACTGCTTGCTAACTCACCAATGGCCCAGTAAATTGAGGTCTTTACTTCTAGAAATCATAAAGGCTGCAACACAATATTGTGTTAAAGTAGTTTCTTGGTCCAAACACAGTTACATAAAGCCCTACTGAGAATGGCAGTGCCAGGCTTCTTCGTAACTGTGATGTTTGGCTTTTTCCCAAGCATCTCTCTTCTTGAACAATTTTAGTCAAATGCCAATGGTAGTACTTATCACTTACAAATACCAAGAAGGAGGGTGTAAATGAAAGTCATGAACAAGAATATGTAGCATAAAAAGACTAATCTCCAGGTTTAAAAGGATATAATCAACAATTAATGAATGGAGAATATAGAATCACAGCAGTGGTTTGCAGGACAGGCTCTGAGTCAGAGATCTGGGTCCTAAGTCCTAGCTTCTTCACTTACAGGTTGTAACATTAGGACATTATTTAATATGTGAGTCTCAGTTTCCTTATCTTTAAAATGGGAATAATAACAGTACCTACTCTACAGGATGGAAGAGGGGATTAAATTAAATTATATAAAGTAGTCAGTACAGTGCCTAGCACATAATACATCATGAAAATGCTAGTTACTTTTATGATAATAATAATTATCATCATTACTTGTTATAATTAGGAAATGCTTTTCAAGAGTGATCACTTTGAATTTAACTTGTATGTCATCTGATCTGGAAGTATAATAAGGGTATTTAATTCCTACTGATTTAGTGAGTCAAACAGAAAACCAAAACAAATTGAATCATTCAACTGGTGTATTTAGAATTGCTGATGATTATAGCATTCAAGAAAGTTAGTGAAACACATAAATTGCAATTCAACTGTCTTGAAAATCTCCAAAATCAGTTTTCATTTGTCTAGTCTGACAGTGGGCAGGGGCTTGACTTGTTTAAAAAATATATATTTAGAGTCTTCTAAAAAAGAAACATGTGCAAGGTGAATACAGAGGAGATAAAGCATGTTAATGCAAAGCGGGTATGCCAAAATCATTTATGTTTCACCTTAGACTGCAGAAGAGGATGCACCGCCTTTGCATAGTACTTTATGCTTTTCACAGAATTATCACTGCTTTGCCATTTTATTTTATTACACACACACACACACACACACACACACACACACACACACACACACACGAAGCCACGTGTACACATATAGCCTCTCTGTATCCAGCACTGATTTTCTTCTAAGTCAGCTCTACCGTTAGAGACCTGGTTCAGATGGAGGGGAAGGTACGGTGATAGCAACAAGGTTATGAGACCAGTCCAGAAAATTCATTCAAAGGATAATCTGATTAGCAAATTTTAAAAGGGGCTGGTATATGGACTTCATTTATCATCTAATTCAAAAAACTCCACAACACAACTTGGACAAAGTCACCAGTATCAAAGGTCCTTAATGTAGCATAATTTGTGTTGAGTGTGTTGCATTCTGACAGTGCTATAAACCAGGGAGACAGTTTACTGACAATTCTGTGCTACCAGATACCAACTCAGGCCTCTGTCCAGCTTTACGTTGTCAATTCTCATGGAAACATGAGCAGGAACATAGCCTCAGAGGATATTGAAGTTTGGATTGCAAAAGACGAGATGGACAGATTTCATATTGTCATTGCAGATTTTTTTTTCCTTTTCAAACTGCTGAGCATAATTTTTTCAAAGGCAGGAAATGCAACTAGTGTTTGTTTCTAGCATGGCTTCTGTTTCGAGATTTCTCCTTTGTGGAAGAAATGTGTTGGCCAGCTGTCTAGAAGCTCAATCAGGATATGGTTTCAGCATGAAATATATTGTAAGAATGACTTTAGCTGTTTATAAACTGGAATGAATATGAGGCTGGGACTATTTTATCCCAATTGTACCCACAGAGAGGGCACTCTGATTCAGTCTAATGGGACCAATATGAATAAATGAGGTAAAGTTTAGTTCTGCGTTTTGCCCAGGAAGGAGAGTAATTGTGGAAAACAAAGAATTGCATTAGTGAACAAGCAGAGCTGTGGAGATTCTCAGTTATAAAGATTCTCAGTTATAGAGATTCTCAGAAACGAGAATCATATGACAACTGGCTGAAAGTATTGCAGTCAACATTTCAAAGAGTGGTGCAACTCAACCTGCATTGCCAGAGAGTTTAATGCTTCCCAGTTTTAATACTTCCCCTACCTGCAACACACATACATATTTTTCAACAAATATTAATCAAGAACCCCCTGTATGGAGACCCCAAGGCTTGTACTGCTTAATGGGAAAAGATACAGGATGATCCAAGTCCTACCTTTCCAGAGATATGTGAAAGAGATAGACATTTCAGCTAGTATCTCATATTTTGATTCCAAGATTTTCAAATTTAATGTTTCTTAAATATAATCGCTGAGCACATTCTATTATATTCTCTCCAAAAGAAGGCATTAAATCTATATCTAATTCTTACTATACACAGAATTTTAAAAAATGTGAATGTACTACTATAAATTCAGCTACCCAATGTAATGAGAACACAGAGAAGAGATCTGATTGGAGGCTTCCTGAAAAAATTACTATAATCTGGGCCTTGAATAATAAAGGAGAAACCTGCCAGGCAGGAAACTTGTATATGTGGGGTGGGAAGAAAAAAATAGGAGGATTGTGAAAGTAAAGGGAAGAGAGTATGCAAAGGCACTAAAAATATAAGAGTTTGTAAATGTGGGAGTATAGAATCTGCATTAAATATATGTATTAGGATGGAAATTCAGAGGACCTGAAGCCTGATAGAAGTCAGGTGGGAGGCCAGATTATGAGGACTTTGTAACTTCTTCTATAGACACTATTGACTGTTTTTAAGTGAAAGGAAAACTAACATGAGTCTGTCACTGTTACTAAGAGAATGCTACGTATGCTATCTAATGTACTACTCACATATGTTTCTAAAGCATAACCCCCACTGTTTTTACTGATAAGGAACAGAGGCACAGGGAGGTTAAATAAGATGCAAGGACACAAGGAGAGAGAATTGGGTTATACCCCATATGTCTGATTTTAAAAACCTGTGAGCTGTCTATAACACCACCTTTTAAGATGCTTTAGCCTTCATGTTTTTCATTTTCTAATTCTTTTATTTTTCTTTTTTTGAATTGATATACCTTTTAGAGCAGTTTTAAGTTTACATAAAAATTGAACATAAAGTACAGAGTTACCAGAAAGTACAGAGTTACCCCCTCACCCTTCTAACAGTTTTCCCCATTAATAACACCTTGCATTAATGGGGTACATTGTTATAATTGATGAGCCAATATAATACATTAAAGTTCATACTTTACATTAAGGTTCACTCTTGCACATTCTATGGGTTTTGACAAATGTATAATGACATGTAGCCACAATTACAGTACTACTATACAGAATGGTTTCACTGTCCTCAAGATCTCCTGTGCTCACCTATTCATCTCTCCCTCCTTCTCCCAATCCTTGCTTCCATTGATCTTTCACTGTTTATATAGTTTTGCCTTTTCCAGAATGTTGTCTAGTTGGAATCACACTTTTTCACACTGGCTTCTTTTATTCAGAAGCATGCATTTGGAGTTCCTCTAAGTCTTTTCATGGCTTGATAGCTCATTTCTTTTTATCACTGAATAATATTCCATTATATGGATGTACTATGGTTCATTTTGTCCATTAACCTACTGAAGGGCATCTAGGTTAGCTTCAAGGCTACTGAAAATATTTGTGGGCAGGTTTTTGTGTGGATGCAAAGTTTTGACTCATTTAAGTAAGTATGTAGAAGTGCAATTGCTGGATCATATGATAAGTATATGTTTCTTTTCTTCCTTTTACTCTTTTATTATTCTTCTCCTTATTTTTAGTTTGCCATGGTCCACTCATTATTTATTTCACATAAACTATTAGTTTATCCCTTTATCTATTCTGTTCATCTCCAATAAACTGGTTGGTTATCTTTCACTTCTCTGGTGGTAAGTTTTTAATGTTTTCAACCTTCTATATCTCCCTTTAAAGCTTTTATTATTATCTATTCACAGTACATGCAACATAGAGTCTGAAATATTGTTAGAGATGAAACTATTGAAAAAATGCCTGAAGTGAAGGAATCACTTACCTTGGTTGACAATAAATCTTAACTTCTGTATTGTTGCGAGATTGCCACTAACTCGATATATTCCATCAACATCTAGACCTGAAAACAAAAGGGCATATTTTATATTAGCACGTGTAAGAACTGAGATGGTAAAGGAAAAAAAATAACTATGGGGGAAAGAGTAGTATATCAAATTCAAATGTCTCTTCCTCACAGAGAAAACAAATTTCTATATCCTAAACTAGGCAATCTTCAAAATTTTTAATCCCAACAAACTAATCATGAAGTTTTGTGACAGTTAATCATCAACAAATTTGAGTCTAGTTGAACCACAAAAGAACAGTAGGTAGCATGGGATTACATATTATATTTAAGGTTAATTTCCAAGGAAAAAATAGGAATCAAACTAGAGGGAACAAAGAACCACTGGGTATATGTGTATTACTGCTCTTTTTAGAAAGATTAATCACTTTCTAAAGGTTACTGAGTATGAAATGTCCAATTTCCTTAAGTACGAAGAAGTTTGACAGTTGACATCTCTGATGTTTCACTTTGACACTTCTTGTTTTATTTTTATTGTGAAGGCACATCTTCAGTCTTTCAAATGTGTGGTTTGGATTATGATTATCTTTAAAAAAATTTTTAGAGCAATTTTTGTGAAACCACAGAAAAGTAAAAAATCTGTGTTATTTTCGAAAATGAGTTCTGTCATGGAACCAATGCAGCACAGACAGCTTGAGATATCAATGAAATGTTTGGGAAGGATGTAGCTAATGAATGCATAGTACATTGATGGTTTAAGAAGTTACATTCTGGTGATTTTAATCTTGAAAGTGAGCCACATGGGCTACCTGAAACCAAGGTGGATAATGATGAGCTGAAAGCTGTAGGGGAAGAGAATCCATCTCAACCTATACATGACTTAGCAGCAAGGTTTGACATTACTATTCCAACAATGTTGGACCACTGGAAACCAATCAGCAAGGTAAAGAAGCTGTAGATAAGTACTGCATGAATTAAACTAGCATCAGAAGAGAAACCATTGCAAAGCTTGCCTTTCTTTTCTGTTATGAGATAAAGGTCAACCATTTATACATCATATTGTTACATGTGATGAAAAATGGAATTCTTTTTGACAATCACAAGTGTTCGTCTCAATGGCTCGATACAGAGGAAGTGCTGAAACATAGTCCAAAACTAAATATTCATCATAAAATGTTAATGGTGTCTGTTTTGGTGGTCCAGCACTGGTATTATCCACTACAACTTTATGAAACATTGTCGATTGATTACAGTGGATGTCTACTGCAACCAATGGGATGAAATTATGAGGATGCTTGCGATTAAGCAGCAGAGACTGGTCAATGTATGCCAATCCTCTTGCAAGACAATGATCAACCACACGTTGTACAAACTATGCTGCTCAAACTACAGAGGCTGGACTTGGAAACTCTCTTGTCACCCACATATTCACGAGACCTTGGACCAACTGACTACCACTTCTTCCAGGGTTTGGACCACTTCTTGTAAGAAAAAAATATTCAATTCTTAACAAGCTGTGGAAAACACTTTTTGTGATTTCATCACCACTCTCTCTCCAGGCCAGGCTTCACTGCAGGCATAAAAAAGCTACCGTTAAGATGGTAAAACAGTGTCAACAGTTTAGGTGCACACTTTGATTAATTGTACTGCTTCTTGTTTGAGATATAATAAACTACACTTTTGATTCAAAATCAGACATTTCATATTTAATGACCTAATAAAATAACTCAAGGCGTTTGTGAGTTATTTCCTCCCTGACCGCCTTCCTGACTTCCTGTTTCTCTCCTTTCCTCCCTCCCTCTCCCCTCTGTCATCTCTCTCTCTTTATTCCCTCCATTCCATTTCTTTTCTTTTCTATCCTCTCTTTTTCCTGTGATCACTATAGCATAACATATATCGATCTTGTTATTTGAAACTATAGGGTGAAAATTCTATTCCAGATATAAAACTAGTTTGATAACTTCTAGTGTATTATAGGTAATGAGGTGCTCCATTATGGAGAAACAAAAAAAGAAAAAAGAAAAAAGAAAGAAATCTTTGGCAAAATGGTGAAATTCGTTTCAGATTTTAGAACTGGTCGTCTATAATTTGACATAATTTATCCTGGCAGTGAATTCTGATAAATCAAGTACTTCTTTTCCACACATCTATTTATGGTATCTAGGTATTTTCATGATCAAGTTATTAGGATGATGAAGAAACAGAAAAATGAAAAGAGAAACACCTATGCAAACATTATTATTTTCCCTTAAAATGCTGATAACGTAATTCTAAGGTCAGGAGTGCATATTCTTTGCTGTTTCTAGGCCCTCAGAGAGGTCTAGGAGAGATTATCAGCCAATGTAGAGGTCATTATTTCAGCAGCTTCTCTAAGGAGATGATATAGCACCATGGATAATCATTGTAATTCACAATGGTAAGCATTAAATATGTAGGTAGAAATTATTGTCATAGTATAACAGAATAAAGGCTTTCCAAAGCTCTTTACTGACCTGAAATGAGCCCCTTTATTGCTTTAGCATCTCTATATTTTTACATACTTTATATTAGGAACCTTTCTGTCACTGTGCAAAATATTTTATCAGTAGATTAGGGTAGAATAACATAACTTATAACACTGATACTGATGGCATAATTTAGAACAATCATTCTCTATGGTTTTTACTCTTCTATGTAATAAACTAATAGGGTCACTTGGGATAATGGCAATAGAATGGAATCGCTATTATCAAATATATTAGTTTATGTGAGTTTTGTAGTTCTAGAATAATCTAAGAATAAATTACTGAGACTCTATCCCTTCCTGAGAACTATAAATTGTGAGAAACTGTACGAAGCTGCGTATCTACTGGTAAGTGGTGAGTTTCTAACACATACACATTTATAAAAATCAAATATATTTTTTCTTCTTGATGCACAAAATAGCTCCATTAATCTAAGGCTACTCCCTTCAGTTTGTTTGTTTGTTTGTTTCAAAGAACAATATGTGCTTGACAATTTAAATGTGACAATCATACTAATTAAAATTTTTCTAATATTTAACTGCTAGTTTTAGTATTGGTCCATGTAGGTCTTAAGTTTATGCACATTTACCCATAATATTAAAAGATTAATTTATGAATAATTTATTAACTTTTTTATTGTTTTATTATTATTAGATAGTGTTTGATACTTAACTTTAGCCTTTGAAATTTTAAATAATGTAATAGATTTTTAAAATATTAAGACTTGCACATCTAATTGCGTTCTTTTCAAAACTTCCTCTCTTAATTTTTTTTGACTACATAGCCACTAAGGAAAAAATTTTGGAATTCTTCCGTACAATCCTCTTTAGTGTCCCCATAGTGTCTGTAGAAAAATGTTCATGATAGCAACTTTGGGGCCTTTGGGGATAGTTTTGGATTTGGAAGTAGTCAAAAATCACTTAGAACCATGAGTGGTACATAATGTCACCTTGCTGCTTGCCATTACAAACAAACAGACAAAGTTTGACCAAATGAAAATGGCTCTGATTATTTCCCATGGGTTATCAATTGCTTTGAAGGAATTTAGTGAAAGAGAACATTGTAGAAAATAGAAGCATCAATGGAATATGTGGGTCTATGTTATCCAAATGATAAATTCTAATATGTTTCTTAAAGAATCAGTCAAATCAATCTTATTTACAATAATGATTAAAGATGAAATGTCAATTAATATCTATTATTAATACAATAAAAATGAGAAAATTGACTATTTTTAAAACTAATTTTCATTTTGCTAATTAGCTGAACCCTTATGAGAGGTCAATAATAAGTGAAATTATTTGGATTTCAACAAAATTTTATCATAACAAATAAAGATCTTACTTAAACCTCATTTTCACATGCATATCCCTTTGTACAAGGTGTACAAGCAAGTGCATGTCTATTTTGAAGCTCTTCTCTTTTTCCAATATTATTTTGAATGCTAATGAAATGCGTATTGCCAGCTAGAGCTGTAAACTGGATCTCAACAACTGAAATTCCCTGTATCTGAAAGATTTCTTTTTCTCTTATAGAAATTTGAAGTTACAACATAAGAAGAACTCTTTCCTAAATTTCAGTAGAAAATTTTTTTAAAAGTCCAGTAATCAAAAACATTTGAAAAAGCAGTATGGATTGGATGTATTACATATGAACAATTGGAAAGCACTGGACTGTTTAAAGAAAGCAGCCTCATCCTAAATCAATGACCCCATTTTCTTTTGGCATAAAAGGAGGGAGCACGGGGGATGGAGACAGGCAGGGTAATTCAGACCTGTGCCACCACCGTGGCTGGAGAAGAGTCCCAGCAGAGAAACTGCTTTGTGGCTGGAGGCAGAAAATGGAAGGTAAGAGGGAGTAAAGCAAAACATATTAGATGCAATATGAATCTGACTCGACATAACTTCCAAGCCCTTTAGATTCAGAGATATCAGCACCATACATCTTGTGAATGATAATAATCTCTGACATCAGTGGCTCCTGCTTTGAATGGCTCACGCTCCCCCGCTGTCATACTTTTTAAATTACACAAATAGAGTGAAAATGACAAAGTACATATTAAGAAGGAGGGTATTACATTTTGCAAAATAATCTGGAACATATCAGTGAATTTTAGCAGTCATAAATTATATAGGTACAGTTTTGAAGTTAATTAGCTTTCCCCTGCGTGGCGCACAGAATGGCAAACCCAAAGTCCTAGGAATATTACCCAAATTACAATTATTCACGTGCCATCCTCTTTTTACTCCAAGAACTTTGAAAGTGATGCCAAACCAAACCAATGTAAATTGGTGGATTTGGACATCCTTTTCATAACCACATTATCCTTGCTGGATTGGAAACTACTTATTTTGGAAATATAATTAGACTCCATATGATTTTTAAATGAGCAATGTCTTCAAGGTACCTTTGTTGTGATTTGGTGAAGTTTGGAGAAAAATCACTTTGAGAGGTACCTCTTTCAAGAAAATAACATGACTGTAAATGCTGACAGGAATTTTGCCTGTTATGCTAAAAATATTTTGGGAACACGATGAAACTAAGTCATTTTAC